GCTCATTGGTTAAGTATCTTGGGTTCAATCCTCCGTACCAAAAAAAAGTGTGTGTGTATATATATACATTACATATATGTATGTATGTAAAATAAAGAAATAAAATAAGAAAAGAATGAACAATCACTTTCATAATTTGCATTGTAAAACGTCTAACTTGCTCTGATTCCATTCCCTTTTGGAAGGGCAGGCTAAGTTGACTGGCATATTTTGAATAAAGGAAATGTTTTGCTTACAGATTCTTTTAGGGAGGCCACTAAAAGCAATTTAGGGCTTATGAAGATTGTTAGGAAATATTCTTTGTCATGAATGTTTGAATCCGGTAATTACTTCAGAATAAAATAGTTATTTAGACATGTACATTAGGATATTATCCTTTTCAGCACAAAAATTGTTCTTTCAGAATATCAGCATATTTACTGTGCACCTGTATTCAGCACTGTGCACAGCACACAAATCAAAGGTTAAATGAGGCGAACAACAGTGATCAGGATAGGATGTTAGGTTGAGTAGCAAGAATTATATTTTGTATAAGTGAAACTCATGAACATTTATTTTATTTATTTTTATAGTAAAGCCTTTGAGTCATCTTCATCATATCTTGCCTGGCTGTTCACTAATTTAGCCCATGGCAAGTTGTTTAATATCCATAAGCCTCTCTGCAGTCACTGTTAATGAGGGTACTAAGGATACCTGCTTGATAGGGCTGTTGGGAGGATTAAATGAGATGCATGAGGAACCTATCCCAGGGCTGGAATATAGGAAGGACTCCATAATTGGTAGTTGTTAGTTATCAAAATCTATGAAAAAATATTCAATATTATTAGTAATTAGGGAAATTCAAATCAAAACTAACCTGAGATTTCATCTCACACCAGTTAGAATGGCAGTCATCAAGAATACAAACAATAATAAATTCTGGAGAGGATGTGGAGAAAAAGAAACATCTGTATACAGTTGGTGGGATTGTAAATTAGTACAGCCACTATGGAAATCAGTGTGGAGGTTACTCAAAAGACTAGGAATGAAGCCAGGTATGGTCACATGCTTGTTAATCCCAGCCACTTGGGAGGCTGAGGCAGGAGGATCAAGAATTCAAACCCAGCATCAGCAAATAGAAATGGAACCAGCATATGATCCAGCTATACTACTCCTCAGTGCTCACTCTGGAGAACTGAAGTCAGCATACGTACATACCTACGTTATAGCAGCACAATTCATAATAGCCAAACTATGAAACTAGCCTAGGTGTCCATCCATGGATGAATGGATAAAGGAAATGTGGTATATATACACAATGGGTTTTACTCAACTATAAGGAAGAATGAAATATATGTCTTTGATAGGCAAATGGATAGAAGTTGAGTCCATTATGTTAAGTGAAATAAGCCAAGGTCAGGGGTCATATTTTTTCTCTCATATGTGGAAGCTGGAGAAGAAAAAGGGGAAAAAAGGGAAAGAAAGGTGAGAAGAGGATCTGATGAAAATGGAAGGGAGATAGTGGAGTAGAGGAAAGGAACTGTGGGGGGGGGGGGAGTGAAGGGAGATATACTGAGGAATAATATTGGCCAGAGTATATTGCTATATTATGTGCATATACAAATATGTAACTAGAATCCCACCATATGTAAGCTACAATGTACCAATAAAAATATGGAAAAATGTTATCATAGAAAATTCATATCATATGTCAGTCATATCTCATGATTGACAAACCCAGTTCATCTCATTTATTACAATTTGTGGTAAATTTTCTTCCCCTGGAATCCACACTTTTGAGATTTAAATAGGCTCTGAGGCTGTGTGGTTATAATCTGGTGAGCTGAGGCCAGTTGTGGGAAGAGGACCACAGATGCTCTTAGAAGTAGTGTGCTGCCAGTGTGGGGTGAGCAGGYTGGTTTTGTTGACAGGAGCTTTGTCTGTCTGCCCTGTTGGTTATTTTCTCCTGGAGGTGGAGCAGGTGCTGTTTCAGGGGAAACACCTTGTGATTTTATTTACCCCCTCCTCACGTCTGGCCTGGCCCCTCCTCGTTCCCTTGCATTCCATTTTTTGCAGGTGTCTCTTACCTGGAAGTTTTGGTATTTGTTAGGCTCCCTTATAAAAACCTATGAACAAAGACAACAATTGAGTCATTTCAACAGTCTGGCTCCTCGTGACTGTAAGTCATCAAGTTGTTATCAACCTCTAGGGAGCTACTTGAAATAACCACAACTTCCTCTATTTTTACTCCTTTTTCTTCAGTTCCTTTTTTCTTGGTTATTAAAAAAAAAAACCAAAACCAAAAACATTACTGACAGCCATGTAAAAGATGACAAACAGTACAAAAATACAAAAAAGAAAAAACATCCAAAATCCTTTGTACAGAAGAAATCACCTGGAAAAATTTGTCGTAATTTCTTATATTTGCTTTCTGTTTATTATTATTATTGTTGTTGTTTTGTTATTGCTAATGTGTGTGTGGTGCTTTGAATTGAACCCAGGTCCTTGTACAAGTTAAGCATGTGCTCTACCATTGAACTAYACCCCAGCCTAATGTGTGTTTTTTATTCTAACATAGCTGAGAACATTCTGTCCATACCATTTAATTTCTCTTTTTTTTTTTTGAATACTAAGAATTGAACCCAGGGATGCTTTATCATTCAAATACATCCCCAGACCTTTTAATTTTTTAAATTTTTTAAATTTTTTTGGTACTAGGGATTGAACTCAGGGGCACTCCACCACTGAGCTACACACCCAGCCCTGTTTTGTATTTTATTTAGAGACAGGGTCTCACTGAGTTGTTTAGCGCCTCGCCATTGCTGAGGCTGGCTTTGAACTTGGCAATACTCCTGCCTCAACCTCCCAAGTTGCTGGGATTACAGGCATGTGCCACCATGTCCAGCTTCCTTTTTATTTTTATATTTATTTTTAAGTTGTAGTTGGACACAATACCTTTATTTTATTTATTTTTATGTGGTGCTGAGGATGGAACCCAGGGCCTCACACGTGCTAGGTGAACGATCCACCCATCCACCGCTGAGCCAAAACCCCAGCCCTTCTTTTTATTTTTTGAGACAAAATCTCACTAAGTTGCCCAGGCTGGCCTTAAACTTGTGTACCTCCAGCCTTAGCCTCCTGAGTAGCTGGAATTATAGGTATATGCCATTGTACCTGACTTAATCTTGATTTTTTTTTTTTACCTTTGATTATAAACATTTCACCTTGTTAAAATAATGTTTTCATTTTAATACCTCTGCAATGGCTYTCCATGTGGTTTCAGTTGCTATTTTGTCAGGACCTTTTGTTCCTCTTAATCCACAGGACCCACTGCCACCAGCTCCTCTGGTCCTATCCTCACACACTTCATGGTGGTGCCCAAGCTTAGGCTCTCTAAGGTACTTCTTTTTGGGTTACACCCATCAGTCCTGGGTACTGTATCCCTCTGTGACATTTGTGCCAGGGTGACAAAATCCAGTGGAAACTCTTACCAGTCAGGATACTCCTCTCATTCTTGGTGGGTAACAGGACCTTGGTATCCTTTCCTGAGAACAKACCTTAGTTGGATCCATTCTAACTCATTTGAGATTTTTTTGATAACACCAAATTTCAAAAGGCAAGTGGCCAAAGTCACCTCCCCCCACAAGGCCCCTAGGCAATTTATCCCCCTCACATAGCTATTAGCACTGAATACTCATCACATCACGAAAGTTCCTATAACACCAGCCTCTTTGGGAATGGCCAGGTGGGGTGCCTAGTAAACCTAGTGTAACAAAGAAGGGCCATTCAATTGAGTCTGGGGCCTGATACAGAAATCAGTTGGTTAAGGGACTTTTAGAAATTATCTAGACAGAAACATCTGACACCTCCTCTCTCAAAATTAGGAAATTAAAAAAAAWAATAAGTTTCTTCTTCACCACACACAACCACTCTTGAGTAAAGCACCTAGGACACCCCTGTCATCCCAGAAGTACTCAGAAAATGTTTGTTCTCTCCATCCTCCATTCCTTCTTAGCCTGATCGCACCTCTGCATCATTTTAAGCTGAGAACACAGGGCTTTCCAGAAACCTAACTCACTCCAGGAACCAACCATGCATAGCCAGCATCCCTCTTGAGACAGGTCCAGGAGTTGATAAAGTGTGCCTTGTTGCCAGCCTGTGCCCCACAAATAAACTCTGTCTGTGAGAAAAGGTGTGGCACCTGCTTTTTTGGAGGTTTGATTTCAAAGAACCACACCATCTCATCTGGTTTCACCAACATGTCTAGTTACAAAGCACAAAGGGGCACCTGGGGCATTTCGGTCAGCACCTGGGGCTATCCTCAGACCCCATCTCTGGATTCCAGATTAAGCTCTTTACAAGATTCCCTTGCAGGAATTCCAGGCTTTCCCTAGTGGACCAGGGGCGTGGCATCTCAAATCAGACTTGAATTTCTAAAAGCAAATGACAGCTCTCTTCAATTGTTTTGTGTATAGAAGCGAGTTTCCACGTTTCATGGGACACAATTAGGTGCTTGAAACCATATTATTCTTTCAGGTGTTTCATTATTGGCTTTAGACCCACATTTCCATTAAAACAGAAAGAAAAACTGAGGCCAGTTTGAAAGATGTCTTGAAATTTTCCTTATTCCCCCACATTTCCTTAACTGGCCTCATTTTGCTTTAATATTTCCTACAGAAATGCTTTGCTAATGCTCTGAGGCGGGGCTCTGGCAGAGCAGTCTTTTGTTTTTTTCTGGAGTCAGCCTTCTCTCACATAACATTGCATCCTGGCTCCTTGAAATCCCTACTGAATTTGGAGAACTTGTCTCTTGGCGTCTGACGTGCTTTCCTGGAACAGTGTGATGTTGACGACATAGCCCCGTCCCTCCACTTGACAATAAGTTTGCTTGTCTCATTGCCCTTGATTATTCAGTGGTGAGTAAGAAGAGAAGTGGAAAGCCTTTCCTACCACAGTTTATTATATGTTTCACGCCTAGGCTCATTACTTTTATAATGCCACTTGTGAATAAATTGATCAGATTAGCATGAATCACCTGGCTGGCCAATAGAGACTGGAATGATTCTCCACGTGTGACTTGGTTGCATTATTACAAAATGTGGCAGGATAGACCTGCCCAGCCGTCGTTGCCGATGTTCATTTGCAATGCTGTCTTAAGGAGATGAGGAGATGAGAGCAAATTRTTCCAGCAGCTCAGCCTGCCCTGCCAACAGTTCGGAGGAGGAGCTGACTGTGGGACCGGAGGCACAGGGGAGCCTGGAACTTGTTTTCACAGTGGTGTCAGCTGTTATGATGGGTCTGCTCATGTTCTCCTTGGGATGCTCTGTGGAGATCCGAAAGCTGTGGTGGCACATCAGGAGACCATGGGGCATTGCTGTGGGACTGCTCTGCCAATTTGGGCTCATGCCTTTGACAGCCTATCTCCTGGCCATCAGCTTCTCTCTGAAGCCAGTCCACGCTATTGCTGTTCTCATCATGGGGTGCTGTCCCGGGGGAACCATCTCGAACATTTTCACCTTCTGGGTTGATGGAGATATGGATCTCAGGTAAGCTACACTAGCTCAGTGGTCCTTCCCTCATCCCACCTGGAGGGGACTTTAGTGTTTGAGTAGAGATTCCAATGGGGAGATATTGCAAATATTATGGAGACTTGATCAGACATGGAAAGGACTCTCCTTTCTGAGCTCCAGGTTGGCTTTGCTGTGGTCTTCCTCTGCTTTATTGGCAACTACTGTTCTGAGTAGTGGGATTTGGCTCATATGTTAACAGAGGAGGCTTGTCTCCACCTCACCGAGTGACCCTTCCCAAATGTGCATTTGTTCTCACTCACACTTGGCATCTTCACATTTTGGTGGTGCTGGGAATTGAACCCAGGGCTTCATATGTGGTAGATGTGCCCTCTACCACTCAGCCACACCCCCTGCCTCTAACATGCTCTCATCTTTAATGACAATTCCCAGGACGTAGCTGAAAATCCCTAGAAGCTAGTGACAGTGGTTTGGTAGTAGTCATAATGGTGGTGATGGTGGTGACAAATGGCTTAACCAGAATGAAGGCCTTGAAGTTCTAATTGGTGTTTCCTGAGTACCTACTATGAAAAATAATATTTGGGGGATTATATAAAAGAGCTTTACGGGCATCTGGTAGACATGTCCTTCTTAAAATGCCAGTGCTGTCCTGTTGATTTGATTTAGGGAGAAGTATGAAGGCTCCCAAAATTAAAATTGTTCTTCCTTGTTGTTTTATAGATATTTAACATTCCTCATTAGACTTGAATTCTTTTCATTGAAGCCAGTGACCTTATTCCTGGTTATGATACAAATAAATACTCCTTGGAGACATTAAGCTTTACCATCTATTTATGCTTTAACAAGGATGAATTAATCACATACTTTTTGGGATGAACATGTTGATTAGGGGAGAAAGGAATATTTGAAGAAACAATAGGCACTGGAAAAAAAAGAAGAGCTAAAAACAATGGTCTTTCTAGATTGTTAGCTTATTAATAAACACTCTGTTTTACCTTCTGCTCAGGGAGAGGGCTACATATGAATTTAAATCTTTGTTCCATATGTATGCCACTTAGATTTACAGTACCATGAATGAATGAATCAGGGGTGATGGCCGAGATGGGAGTTGACATCAGTGAGTCACCTGGGTCAGGGTTTCCAGTTTCCTGCATGTGCTGAATGTGTGGTGTATCGAACATATTTCACCTATACATTTTAATGGGTTCTTAACTCAGACTAGTAATTAACTTTCATATGTCTTTTAGTTACCTACCTAGGAGAGATTTGAAAAAAAAATAAAACCACTTGATGGATTTTGTATTTTACTATTAAGCTAATAATGTATCACCAATTCAAATTCAATAAAGTTGATCTTTAACTAAATGGGATATGATAAATATTCTTTGCCTGAAGTTCACACATCAGTGATAAATTCTAACACCTGAAAGATTTTGGAAGGAAGAAGGAAAGTACTGTTTGTTAAGTACCTCACAGATATGGCATAGATGTATTCATGGATATATTCTCCTCTTGGTCTTCAAAATAACCTTGTGAGTGACCTTTCATTATTCTGAATTTTACAGTTGAGAAAATTGTGTTTTGGATTGGTTAGGTAGCTTGCCAACAGAGAATGGCAGAACACATATTTAAATTCACATCTGTTTTACATCAGTCTGCAATTTGGGCCCTTTTTTTCCATGACATTTAGCAACATGACTGAATCTTCTGTTTTGAGTGGAAGCATAAATCTTTAAACAGTGTTTTCAAACACTTCTGTTCTGGGAAAGAGAACATTTATTACCTTCATCTCTTATTAGTCAGCATTGTCATAAAAACACCAGTGAATAGGAAGTCTATGAAAGATAAAGCTCATTTTACTTCCTTTTGCCAGCTATGTCCTTAATTAGCTTTTAACTCTGGTCAAATTATTTAACCTATTATATATACACATACACACATATACATACACACACAATGCCAGGTACATAGTGGGTATAAAATAAATATTTAGCTACTTTTCTCCTTTTCTTTCTAAATTGAGGTTTTAATTTTCACAAGCAAAACAAAACAAACAAACAAACAAACAAACAAAAACAAAAACACCAAGCTGTAGAAACTGAAAACTTAAAGCAGGAACAAAAAATTAGATTTGTTTTTATTTTTATTTTTTTGGTACCAGGGATTGAATTTAGGGGCATTAGACTTCTGAGCCATATCCCTAGCCTTATTTTGTATTTTATTTAAAGATAGGGTCTCACTGAGTTGCTTAGCACCACGCTTTTGCTGTGGCTAGCTTTGAACTCTTGATCCTCCTCCTGCCTCAGCCTCTCAAGCCTCTGGGATTACAGGCATGTAACACCACTCCCAGCTAGATTTATTTTTAAACTAGATTTTCAAAAGCTTATAGATGCAAAACTAATAAAAATCTTAATTTTGGGCAAAAATTTCAAATAGGAAAAAATTCAGTATTGTTGAGTGAAAGGATATTCAAGTTCAATGCATTTTTTTTTTTGCATTGACTACCGATAAAAATCACATTCAAGTGAAACTCGGACTCCAAAAGTATTTTTAAAACATTTTTAATTATCTATTTTATTTTATTTTATTATTGAATCCAAAAGTACTTAATGCAGCATTTCTTTTTACAAACAAGGAAACTGGGATGAAGCTCTCTATGCTATTCTCCATGTGTTCACCCAAACAGGCATTTCAGAATCAATAGGCTTGCATTAGTGTCAGATGATGACATAAATCACTTTGCTCCTTTTGTTTGCTCCATCTACTGCCCAGCCCTGTAGCCCAACTTCTTTCTCTAGTGGTGCTTGCTAGCTGTCCATGCCACAGCTATTTCCTCAGTCAGGCCCTGATTCTTTTTTTTCTTGGCCAAGTACTGTATCCTCACAGCTGTTGTCTGTATCAGGTTTCCCAGATATAGTTTTGTACTATGAAGACAAAGCAAGCTCTGAGGGTAGATTTCCTGTATTCAAATTCTGACCACAGGTTTCTTTTCTGTAACTGGAAATTTCAGCATGGACCATCATAGCAATGAACATGTTATACACATAGAGGCCTCTCAATACCTAGTAAACTGGACAGAAATGACAAAGCCCTTCTACCCAGCTGCTTCCCATTATTTATCATTTACCCCTTGAGCACAACCTGTCTATCAAGATAGACCAGTCATCGTTCTCTAAACACACCCCATTTTTCTGACTTTCATTTGCCCGATTTGTTCCCATATCCTGGAATGTTGACTGATATTGTTCTGTCTCCTCCTGTTATAATATGATTCTCCCTAATGATTGTTCTAGAAGACTATTGGTCAATATGTATGAAGAGCTTTCGACATTATCCTGCTCCCTGGATGTTCTCAGCTGGGTTCTTCTGCATGTTTGGGGATTGGTTAAATATACAGTGGTCTTGGATGGCCTCAGCTGGCACAACTGGGTTCCCTTCCACATGGTCTCTCATTTTCCAGCAGGCTAGCTGAAACCAAATCACAAGTTTGTTTTTTTTTTTTTTTTGTACTGAGGATTGAACCACAGGGCACTTTAACAGCGAGCCATATCTCATTCCTAGTCCTTTTTTATTTTGAGACAGGGGTTTCACTAAATTGCTGAGGCTGGCCTCAAACTTTTTAGTTGCTGGGATTATTGGTGTGCTCTAATTATAAGCTCTGAGAAAGGGGATGCATGGAAGATTTTGTGAGGCCTGAGTTTGAATCCAGTCCATCATCAATTTCATCACATCCCATTGGTCCATGTGAACTACAAGCCCAGCCCAGATTCAAGGAATGGGGAAGTAGATTTTGATGGATGGTGCTACAACATAACATTATAGAGGGCATGGGTAGGGAAGGGCTAAAGATATGAAGACTACTTTTGCCTTACGCCATTCCAGAGATGGACAGGATTGCTGCATTTGAGGAAAGGACATGAAACTAAGATCTGTGTGTGTGTGTTTTGCAGTTACTCAGCCTCATGACAGCCCATGAAGTAGTTATGTTTCTCCTTTTTTTAGAAGGGAGGAAACTGATAAATGAGACCCTGGGTTCAATTCCCAGTAGCACCAAAAAGAAAAAAAAATGTGAGAAAACTGAAGCTTGGAGAATTTACATAATCTGCCTAGGTGGCCAGTCGGTAAGTAATGCGTCTGCTCACTGTTTCCAGAATGGTTCATTTAACTACTACTCTGCCCTGCTCTCATTGAGGTAGGTCTATTCTTTCCTGAAAAGATGTATTTGTACCCTTCACTGGAGAGAAAGTATTCTGTCCATGGAAGGGAGTGGAGACTGTGGAGTTCAGTGACCACTGTTGCTCACCGAACTTTGAAAAAGTCCTCGGTCATCAGAAAAAAGACCCTGGAAACAGGACTTCAGGTTTTTCAGATCTGTCTGACTTGGCCTGGTGGAGAAATGAAAATCTTCTGTGCTTCAGGCTTTGCTGAGAATGAATCCATGGGACTTCATGAATGTTCCTCCCACACTCTAAACTTCAGTTTCTTTGTGAATAAAATGGAAATAACACCTACACATACAGTTATTGTGTAGAGAAAAAGAGAAAACATCATAAATATGCATGAGGTACAATACACAGCATGTAGTACTTGATAAATGCTCATTATTATTGCAAGGCAGCAGACATATTTGGGTCTGGAAAACTGGTCCTTAAGCTCTTTTCTAGGGCCAATTCTATCGACATATTTTTTTTTTCTTTTGCAGTACTGGGAATGGGAACCAAGGCCTCGTGAATGGTATGCAAATACCCTACCACAGAATTATATCCCCATCCCTCACCTCATTTTTAATATTATTTTGAGGTAGGGTCTCACTGAGTTGCCCAGGCTGGCCTCAAACTTGTAATCCTCCTGTCTCAGCCTCCTAAGTAGCTGGGATTACAGGTGTGTGCCCATCTCCATGTGATATTATAGCACTCTCCTTGTCCATCTGGCTAGTGAGATGACTGTTTTCTTTTTTTTTAGTGGGGAAGCAAGTATGTGTGCTTTCATTTTAAGAGTTAGAGTTCCTGATTTTTTAT